GAAAAGTGAATAAAGATAAATTTAAAGAGAAAATCAAATGCTGTTATCAAAAATAAGTAATAAGAAATCATCTTATTCCAAAAATCATTTTGATAAAGAATGGAACAAAACCAAATAATATTTTATGAATCTTGGAGGGTTGCGTAGTTTAAGTTCAAAATAAAAACAATTTAATTATTCATTTTACTATTGAATTTTATATTTCATACTTTCAATCATAAAATAATAAATCTAAGATAAAATAATATAGAGATATATAATATTTTGAATTATCTTTTTGTTATTAATACTTTATAATTTGTTATATCAAATATTATTATTTTGATATAATGATAATCTTTAATAATTCTTATTAACTTATTAAATTATCATATATTTCTTATTTTAAATACTAATATGAATAGTAAGAGAAGTAATTTTTTAATATATTTTTGTTTAGTCAATATTTCTATTTATTTTATATTTTTAATAATGAAAGAAATGTCTCTCACTTTTAAGTTAATACTTTTGGGAGATTCAAATGTAGGTAAAACTAGTATTTTGAAAAGATATTCAGAAAATACATTTTCAGAATAATAAGCTCCTACTATTGGATTAGCATTTTATAAGAAAGTAGTAGAAAGAAAAAATATTAAAATAACGCTTGAGATATGGGATACTGCTGGATAAGAAAAATTCAAAAAGATTGCACCAATTTATTATCGAAATGCTTAAGCAGTCTTAATTTGTTTTGATGTATCAAAAAGAGATACTTTAGAAGGAGCAAAGAGATGGTTGGAAGAAATAGATAAATATTTAAATTCTGACTGTGTTAAATTTTTAGTTGGAAACAAATAAGATTAGGGTGATTTTAATGTTGATTAAGCATTTCTAGAAAATAATCATATGAAATATATTTAAACATCAGCAAAGACAGGATATAATATAGATAAATTATTTCGAAGAGTTGCTAGAACATTGACTAAGACTAAAATAAAAAAAATGGAAAATCTTGATTAAAAAACAATCATTACTCTTTAAGTACAAGGACCAGAAGAAAAATAAAATAAATCTCTATGTTGTTGATTTTTTATGTTATTTCACTTAAATTCAACATTAATTATTAAATCTCTTATTATTAAATATATGTTTTAATTTAGTATTGTTAAAGATTATAATTGATTAATAAAACTCATTAATCAATATCTATATTTTCTATTAACTAATAATTAATTCAATATTATGAAATTTATTTATAGAATATAAATTTTTATTTATATTCTAATAAATCCCAGTTCATTAAATAGACATTAATAAATATTTTGTATATATTTTATGTATTATTGTCAAAATATTCATCTACCATTGTTAGCTGCAGCTACAATATCAGCAAATGCTGGCTTTAAGGCAGCACCACCAACTAAAAAGCCATCAAGATCTGGTTATTTAATTAAATCAGCTGCATTCTTTTCTGTGACTGATCCTCCATAAATAATTCTTGTTGCTTATTCAGCCTATATTAATATAAGTCATAATTACTTATGTTCCTATTTAAGATTTAAGCCATCCTCTAATGAAAGCATGAACTTCTTATGCTTATTCAGGACTTGCTGTTTTACCTGTTCCAATAGCCCAAACTGGTTCATAAGCAACAACTACTTTACTCCATTATTCTATTGTTAATTCCTCTAAAAAAATTAAAATAATGTATAAGAATTACTTTTAATTGCAGCTAATTATGCTTAAATCACATTTGTTGTTTAACCTGATTCTCTATCAGCTAATTTTTCACCAACACATGCCATTACACTTAATTATTAATCTAAAGCTAATCTAGTCTTCTTTCCAACAATTTCATTTGTTTCACCATAGTATTATCTTCTTTCAGAATGTCCCAAAATAACCCAAGGTATACCAAAATCTTTGACTTATTCAACACTAATTTCTCCTGTATAAGCACCCATTTTTGTTAAGGATGAGTTTTAGATAGCCAATTAAACATTCTTTTAAATATTGGCTTAAACCCATGGAAGATGTAAAAAGATTGGAGCAACAGCAACCTCTGGAGAATATAAATTGTTAATTACCAATTTTGGTAGTATCAAATACAAGTTTGTTGATGACTTAATTGATTAAATTTTAAGTTTAAGCTAAGGTGTTATTGCATTTCCAATTACCACCTACAAAGTATCTTCTCATAATTATATTATTTAATTAGAGTGTATAAACTTATTAGATTTGAAAACTAAATAAATTGATAATATTCAATTTATCTAAATATTAATATAAATAATCATGTATTAGATAGTTTGATTTATTTTTAGAATTTAATCATTTAATTATGAATTAAGATAAATAGTTGATGGTATATTAAATATAATTATTGAAAGTGGAATTCATACTAAAATAATCTCACATTTCTCAAACTAATATTATTTATTAAATCTGATTTAACATTGTTTTTGAATATTTAATTATTATTAAATGTTAAGTACATCTTAAACTAGAAGTACCACTGAAACCATAAGTCGTGTGATTATTGATTCAAATTATGTGATTGTGAAAAATATTTACAAAGGACAATAGTATAACCTCTATTTAGGTAATAAATGATGAAGTTAAAAGATAGTTAGCTATTAAAAAAGAATAGTCAGATGATATCAATTCATTTAACCATTAAGAGAAATATTATCTAATTAAAATGAAAAAGTATATCATATCATAATAATATAGATAAACGTAGTAGAATGAAACAATTCCAGAACTTTAGTTTCTAAATAGATTAAGAGATTGTAACGAAATCATTTCTTAAATTAGTTAATTGTGTTCCCTTTCTCATTAATTCTGGAGAGTAAGTAATTAAAGGATCAAAATACCATTATCAAATTATGGAACGTCATGGTCCTTCTATTAAACTTATATACAATTATTTATCTAGAAATATACCATTACCTATTTTATGTTTGATTGCAATTTAAGCTGTATAAATTCTAATATATTTCTAGTTAACTTGTTTAGAGATTATACATAAACATTAAATTGTTCATAGAAATATAAGACCTAAAAAATTGTTATTATCAACTAATGGCAATGAAATTTTATTAAGTGATTTCAAATATGCTTGTAGATTTAAAAAATAATATGGATCATTAATGGTTAACGAAAACTATAAATTAAATTCAAACAAAATATTTCTAAACAAATATTCAAGTATCAATCAGCATCTCAATCAAGGTAATCAGTAAATTCATTTTTAAAGTTCCAACTCCTAAAGACGATCTTGAATCTTTAGCCTATATATTACTTATGTATGCTTCTAATTCCACTGTTTTCTAAATTAAAGCAGAGAATAAAGCACTTAAACTTAAAAAATTGGAGAGTATCAAATTGTCAATTATTCCTGAAATAGCTTTTAAATAAGCTCCTCTTGAATTCATTCATTTCTTACATCTAGTAAAGACCAGTAATGCTAACGATTATCCATAAGATTATGAGAAATTTAAGCAAATATTTAGAAAAATCATTTAGATTAGTGGATATACAGAAAGAGAATTAACATACCCTTTGTTTCATATGAATTTACAAGAAAAAACTCAATAATAATAATTTTAGAGTTAAACTAGTAAGTTTAAGAAAATGTAACACTAAAAAATGAGTTCAGAATCAATAAAAGAAGAAGAAGCAGATGATGAAATGTCTACATATTAAATTGAAAAAGTTGGTGAAGATAGAACTATTGAACCATTAATTAAAGGATTAGCAACAAAGTAATTTAAACATATTTCTTTTTTAAATTAATCTTATGCTGGAACATAAATTGTAAAACTTAAATATACTAAAAAATGATTAATATTTGTTTTTTTTTTTCTCAATTTTTCCTTTTGATAATAATATATTATAATTAATACGTTTAAATTAAAATTTAAATAAAAAAAACTTATATATTATCAAGTATTTTTAACATACTCCATAAGGAATCATTATCAATTCAATTATAAAATTATTATTAGTTCTAAATATTTTAATTACAAAAAAGAAATTTCAAAAATTTAATTATTCACATGGTTCTTCTATAAAATTCATAAGCTTGTTAAATCAAATTTTAATTGTGTGGTTCTATCTTTTAAAGTAGATTTTTAAGAGAGATTTCACAACATCCAGCATTATTAGAAATTATTTATAAATTTAAACCACCCTTTTCATGAAATATAAAATCTCCAGTTAACTTTACTAGAGCAGAAGCAATTACATGTTCATGTTCACCTTAAACTAAATTTTGATTCTTTAAGGTTGAATAGAAAAATCTACAAAGGGTTTAAAATTTCTAATTAAATCCAATAGCAACACAAATTCTAGTCATGTATTGTAAAGTAAAGGCATCTTAATCAAAAGGTCGAATTTGATTAAGTTAGATCAATATCTTTCTTACTTGTTTTTCATCACAATTTAAAGTTTAAGTTATTTCCTTAATTCTCAATGGGATTAATAGAATTCTTAAAGATTAAATAATCAATGCACAAGCTATTGATTAGTATTTTTTAGATTTAATTTACTCAATCACAGAGTTATCTAATAGATCAACACTCTTATGTTTAATATTCTCAGTATTTATTCCATTTAAAAGATTGCTATGAGTTAATTTAGCAAGCATCTCATCAACTAAAAGAATGACTTATTTTTATCTTCTTTTATCTGATTTCTAAAGAGTTATTTATGGTTTTGTATCATCTGATGATGAATTATCATAAATGTTCCAATTGAATTTAGGAGGTGGAGGTCTTTAATTTATACTATTATTCATTTTAATTATTAAAATTAAATAGAAAAATATTCTTATAATTAATTTGAAATGTAAATATAATTAAAATGTTCTTATCGGAAAGTAACAGTCAAATTTTGTATAGTTGAGAAATTTAAAATGTGGAATTATCAATAATACTAATTTTCATATAGTAGATAAAGATAGTAATTTAAAAGAGTTAAATTTTATAACAGTCAATCATTAATATTAATAAAATATAATGGAAAATCAACGGATAATCAAAAGTATTAAATCTCCTTCTTCTTTGAATTCTAAATAATCTACTAAATATATCTAATGTAAATAATAGTATAATATATCAAATAGAACCAAATGTACTCTTTTAGTAACATCCAACACAAATAGTCAAGAAATCTGCTTAATAAAATATCCCTCCAATTCCTCTTAAGTAAGTAAACAACATACTACAAACAAGAGAAACTCCAATTTTTAAATAGTCTCAAGATGAACGATACTCTTATACAAAGTATAAAATCATACATATTCTATATTAGAGATGCCACATGTTTAATGGCTAAATTAGATTCACTAAGAGAAATTAAATCAGCAGATAGCCCAATAAGAAATCATGTCTCTCCTATACCTTCTACATTATAAAGTGTTGTAGTTCTCAGTTAAAATAATGCTGTTAAACCCTAACTGTTATAATAAGTTGCTTGTTCTAGTTGTGTGGAACCATTCAAAATATATAATAATAATAAGAATGTTAATCAAAGTTAATAGTTAAGCTAAACACTACCTCCAAAAAAGAATTATGAATCTATGATATAAACACTTATGAATGAATAAGAACTATTAGTTAAATAATATAATGATAAAATTAAACTATTGGAATAGAAAAATTAGGAGCTATCATAAGAAAATAATAATTTAGTTGAATAAAATAAATTATTTTTAGACTAAAACTTATAGTTAAAGAATGAAGTAACTTAATTTCAATTAAAATAATAATAAACAAATGTAATATATTCAAATGAAGATACAAAGAAAACTGTTTAATTTTTGGAACATGAATTAGAGTAAAAGAAGGAAGAACTTAATTAATTGATATAGAATATGAATGAAATTCTTTCAATTAATTAAAAAACAGAAGAAAAAAATAATGAACTATCATAATAAATAAATATTATTTTAGAATAGAAGGAAAAAGAAATTAATGCTTATTTCACTCAAATAAGTATGTATAAGTAAACAATTTAAGATCTTGAATAAAAAATTGTATAATTAATTTCAAATGATTCATTACAATAATAAAAATTGAAAGAAGCTTAGACTAAAATAATATAAATAGAATAATCAGATAAAAATAAATAAAATTCATAATAATAATAATAATAATAAAAAGTATAATATATTTATATTAAATTAGTATAATGTAAAAGAAACATTTGAATACAAATAATTAGTTTTAGAATTGGATAGCAAATGTGTTACAATAACAGAAAAAGAAAACTAAATTGAAACTTTAAAGATTAAAAATTAAATGTTTTAATAGTAATTAGCACAATAATAATAATGTTAAATATCTATTAAAGATCATTAAGATGTTTTAATATAAAAAGAAAGAGAAAATGATGATTTAAAATCTAATTTGATTAATAAAGATGAAGAAATTGAAAGATTAAATTAATAATTAAAATTTGTAAGGAAAGAGAAGGCAAAATTATCTATAAATTTAATGAATGCTGGTATGGCAAATCTTGTGATGTTATCTTAAGGACAATATTAATAAGATGAGATTACTGTATGATTAAAATATACTTAACAAAAATAATAAATATCAAATACCAGTCAAAATATCATATTCAAATTCACAATCTATTTAATCTAAATTACTATTTGCTATATAACCTACTCCATGTTTTTTACCATTTTTAAAACTACCTTTATAATGAATTCCTTCCAAATTATAAAATAATGTTCCTTATCCTTCTGGTTTTCCATCTACTATTTAACCAGTATAATATAATTTGCTATCTTATTGTATTTCATTTGCATTAACATTTATTATTTCTCCTTCATATTTTTTAAGCAATTTTAAAATTTCTTCTATAAAAGCATTTTTCTTTTCAATATCTGAATTTAATTGTAATTATTAATTAGGCCTTTGTTTTTATGATCCTTATTTGATCACTTCCTATAATATTTCAATATCATCTTCTATTGTTGAATATACTTAAAGGACTTTAATAACATTTTTTTAGGAAATTTAGAGTTCAAAATGTTATCTATGATAAAAAGGAACATTATCATATGCTTATAATGTTTTAATCCCTGATATTCTACAATTTTATATAGACATTTTTGATATAGCATTTGAACTTTCTAATTTAGAGATTATCTATGTAAATTCATATAATACATCTAATTCACTATTACTATTTTTAATATAATAGTTTAATTGTGCCAAATTTGATAAATAATACACAGTCCCATAAGAATCAACAAAGAAATATGATATTTTGAAAGTCTTATTATTTTTTCTTTGTTTTGTAAAAAAACCTGTCATCTAAGTTAAACTTATCATTTTAATTTACAAATTATAATAAAAATATTATTAAATACTCACTTTTATCATTATTAGATTGTCTATTATTATGGATTAGTTTATTCTATTCTTTTTTAAGTCCAATCATATTAATAATCCATTGCAAATCGTTATTTTTAGAATAAATCTCGAAATAATTGTCTACAATAATCATAATCTGGCTTCTCTGTAAATTATAGATTTCTACAATATTTTAGATATTATTAAAATTCTATAGGTGTTCCTGCACATAATAATTCAATGCTTGTTGCTATTTTAGATTCCATAATTCTTTCATATTTGTCTTTTTTGTTATTATTTTTTAAATTCTGCCATGGTAATGTTCCTTTCAAAAAGTATATTAAAACATATCCAATACTTTCTAAATCATCTCTTCTACTTTGTTCTAATCCAAGATGAGTATTTATTGATGCATACCTTGCAGTGCCTGTCAAATTCTTTTTCTCTCTATAAGGGATATGAGATCCATCCCTTGTAATAAATCTTTTTGCCAATCCAAAATCAATCATAAACAATGTCTATGCTCTTTTCCCTAATCCCATTAAGAAATTATCAGGTTTAATATCTCTATGAAGAAAATCCTTAGAGTGAATGAATTCTACTCTGGTTATCATCTAATCAACCAACATTAAAACAGTCTTTAAAGAGAACTTTCGTTGACATTATGTGAGCAACTCTTCAAGAGAGGGTCCCAATAAATCCATTACCATTATATTGTAATCTCCTTCAGTTGAGCAATAATAGACTTAGGGAATCCCTTTTTCTACAGAAGCATTATCTTAACTAAGATGTTAATAGAGTTTTGCTTCATAATATAATTGAGGATGTTTGGCGCTTATAGGCTCTAATTTTATAGCTACCTCTATATTATTTTTAAGCTAAAAAGAACTTTAAATAATATTTATATACATTGATTCCATGAAATATTTCACCAAATGCTCCACTTCCTAATTTTTTTGTTAATTTAAACGTTTTCCCTATTTTGGAATCCATTATTTTGAAATAAATTAAAATATTATAAAATAAGCTATTACAACATCAAAGGTATCCTTAAAATTGATTCTTATTTTAATATATCTAAACTAATTCTATTCAATAATAGTTAAAAAATAATGAATTTTTATTGTAAATAAATTAAACTTATATATGATTTATATGAATGGAAAAATATAGAATATAAATTGTTTAATATACTTTAAAAATAAAATAAATTAATATTTTGAATGATAAACTGCTTAAACAAACTTTTTTTATTATAAAATTATCTTATTTAATGCTTTAATCTTAAAACATAATTTTTTAATAAAAAAAAGAATATAATATATATACAAATAATGTAGTTCTTTAGTATTAATTGAATTTAACAATTTATTTTATTAGTCTTAAATAATAAATTAAATATATTTGCAACCTTATTGTTTTTATAAACATTTTGTATTATATTATATTGTATTTTTGATTTGTTTCAATTCTTGAATATTTTATCATTTTATCACTCTAATTGATCTATATATCAATAATAAAACAACATTTTAATACTAAATAAGTTGAAATATTTTTGGAATAATACTAGGTGATTTGTATATAAATTTATTAAATATAGAGAAAAATGGATTATGATGTTGATTATTACCCTTCTTAAATCATAGAAACAATTGGTGATGTAACATTTAGTAGTTAATTTGATTCTGGAAATTTGAAATCTGTAAGAAAGGAATCCTATAATAAAGTAAGGGTGTTTGATTTAGAATTTAGTATATTTTAACGATTTGCAATGATACAGGAATAAATGGGAAGAGTGCAACATACAGGACTTGGTTTTATTTTTCAGTGGAGGGAATGGATAATGCAAGTTTAGTTACATTTGTTATATCGAATATGCAAAATTAAGTAGTAATGAAAAACAATTTGAGATTGGACTGTTTAAAGATGGAATGCAACCTGTATTTAAGACGAACAATGAGTGGCAAAGAGTGAGGTATCCTTGTCAGTACCGTTTGTTACCAGATGGGTTGTTTGAAGTTACATTCCAGCACTTATTTTAAAATAATTAGAAGGTTTACTTTGCTTTCACATATCCATGGTCAAACTAAGATAATGAAGTAACTATTAACAATATGTAGCAATTCATAAATTAAATGATATAATATGGTAGACAATAGATTAAGGATCTCTATATAAAATTGAATGTTCTAGGGTATTCAAAAGAAAGAAGACCAATTCATTTGTTAACCATAACGAGCAATAATAATTCAACAAATAAAGTTGAAGATCCAATTAATAACGTATTTCCTGAAGCATAAGAGAGTCGACCTATAGTGTAATTGATGAAATTGATGAATTAGATTCAAAAAGAAATACATATTCATCTCAGCCAGAGTTCATCCAGGAGAATTACCAGGGTCACATGTATTGAATGGCATAATCAAATTTTTATTGAATCCTAATGACAAAGCAGCAGAAGTGGCAAGAAATGAATTTGTTTGGGTCATTGTTCCAATAATAAATCCAGATGGAGTTTATAGAGGTCATTATAGAACAGATTCATTATGTCAAAATCTCAATCGTTATTATTTGAATCCAAGTTTGAATGATCATCCAACTATTTATGCAATCAAAGAATATATATTAAGATTGCATAATACAGATAGATTCTATGCTTATATTGATTTACATGCTCATGCAGGTCATAAAGGAATCTTTATATTTGGAAATCAATTACCAAATTTACATATGCATACATAGAATTGTCTCATACCTAAATTATTGACATTATACTCAGAAATCTTTGATTATGATGGATGCAATTTTACTGAAAAAAATATGTATTCAGCTGACAAAGGAGATGGATTAAGTAAAGAAGGAAGTGGAAGAGTGGCTCTATATAAAGAAACTAATATTATATATTCTTATACTGTAGAATGTAATTACAATTCTGGAAAAATTACTAATCTAATACCTAAATCTAGTTATCTCTCTGATTAGGAAGGTTTTATTGTTCATATCATTTCTAGACATTTACTATACCTATGGAAATGAATAAATTGATGATTAAATTGTCTTAGGAATACCACCATAGACTACAACCAATAAGACATATTTTTATACTATTAATGATTATGAATAAGTTGGCCAAAGCATTATTTTAGCTCTTCTTGATGCAAATTTACTTAATCCTTGTAGTAAACTACCTGATTCTTAATTTAAGACACTAGCAAATCTTAAATTATTCCTTGCTTACAATATCATGAAAGTTATGCATTTTAGATTTGAAACATACTTAAGAAAAGTTCTTAAGTATTTATTTTTTGTTTACTTTATATAGGAATATTAATAATAAAGAAAATATATAAAGAACTTTGAAATCTTTTTATGAATACATTAAAAATAATCAAATCAGAGATAATTTAGAATAAAATGAATAATAATAAACGAAATAATAGTTTCCAAGAAAACCTATTTAATAAGAATTAAAGTTATAAAAATAGACACTTTAATTATAGTCTTAAAAATTAGAAAAACTACCTGATATTTAAAAGAAATCTTTTCAATAAAGACAAGTGTCTCAAGAGAATTCTAAAAATAGGAATACTTCTGAAGGGAAAGCATAACCATAATAATAATAATTTTAAAAATAATATAAATCCTTTAGAATCACCAAAAATTGTGCTAAGGCTATTCAATAATAATGATGATGATGATCAATATTATATACCTATAGGTTTCATTTAATTTTATTTGAAATCTTTATAGAATTTATAATAATTTTCACTTTTCTTACTAAGATTTTTTAATTTTTCTATTTATATTTTATGAAATCCTTAATGGAATTATTCATATTTTTTACAATTTAATTAAAGTATCAATTATATACTAAAAAACATTATAAATTATTAATTCATTTTTTCCAAATGGAGGTTATAGATAAATAATCAAGGAGTAATGTAGGATAATAAGATTTAAGAGTATCAAAATCAAAATAGCAAACTTATTCATCATTATCTTTACATTTGAATACAAGTAATTTATTTTACATAAGATGATGAGAAATAATACATTCTAATGGAATTTTGCCATCACTTACCTAACATTTTGAATTCTTATCATAATATTTTTGATTTAGTAAATTAAACTTTGGTAAATCAGTATATTGACTTTTATATCCTGAAGGTAAAGAAGCTTATGGTTTATATATAATGACTTCATCATCTCTCTTTTTCTTTTATTCTTTCTTTTTTATCATCAATAACATTTCTTAAATGAATTCTTTTTCAGTTTTATAATGGCCATATTTAAAACTGCATTCTGTAATTTGTAATGGATACTATTTATGTAAATATTTTTATGATTCTATTTTATAGTCATTTTTATAAGAAAGAAACTCTCTATCAGTTTCACTCTTTCTTGGTCTACCTCTGCCTCTTCTCATAAAAAAGTCATAATCTTCTTTATCATCATTCCTATCTATTAAATATTATTGAATTGAAATACTTTCATAATTTTTATAATTATTAGGTTCTTGTAAAAGTTTATAATTTTATCCATTTGATTCTGTTTTATTAGTTTAAGCTAATAGAGTATATTTATTTTCAGATGTATATTTTTTATATACTTAACATCCTTTATTCATAATATGTACTCTAATTTTTATATGGCTATTTGCTTTGTAAATTTTGGTATGATAATTTTTATAATTTTGGCATCTTTCAAATCTAGTAATTAATTAATTAGAAATTCCTTCAAAAGCAGTCTCTGGTTCCCAAGTAGATTCTTTTTTAGAATATCCTACCCATTTAATATAGTATTCAAAGCTATTTAGATATCTTTTTCCATGAACAAATTCGACATCGTATTCTTATTATTGAAATTCCATGGAGTAGTTAGTTACTAAATGGTTCCTTTATTTCCATGATTATTTTATATTAATAATTAATATATAATATATATATATATAGATCATTTAAGTTTTTTATCCTTTTTTAGTGGAACAACAACTTAAGATTTTTCTTCTTATGCTCTAGATTTGACTTATTATCTAACTTCATCCATATCTTTACAATCTTCATCTGAACTGTCTTCTTCTTTATATACAAATTTAATGTTTGTTTCGACATTATCATTGATTTCTTAAGAGATGTAACTCTTAAATAAAGATTAAGAATTACCTTTGGATTAAGACATATAAAATCTTCAACTTTATTATATCTAGGATTTGTATTAATAGATTCTTCATTTAAAAATTCTTAAGTTTTTGATAAGACAGTTAGCATTCTTTCTAATCTCAATTGAATAGTAGATGCAGTAGCAACTAAAGCATGTCTCTTAATTTCAATATTTTTAGGTTTCATTCCTTTTCCACTTAATTAATACATAATTCTTGACAATGACATAGTAACTTCATCAATAGATTTTTCAACTTTTTTAACTTATTTTTCTTTTTCTTAAAGTAAATCTTATTATTTAGTGACTTCTCTTTCTTATTCATCTAAATTAATTTAAGCATCTAAGATGGAATTCTCTTATTCATATTTTAATTTTTTGATTTCAGCTCTCAATTCTTCATTTTGTCTTTCATATCTTTCAATTTCTTTGCCTACATATTCTTATATATTTTTTAATTCTTATTAATCTAAATCCATATTGAGTTTGTACTTCTGCATATCTTCTTAACTAGCTATGCTGGTTACTACTCTCAATTTTTAAAACATTTATTTCTAACATTATAAAATATTATTTACTTTTTTTTCTAATTCTTATTGAATATCATTTTTTTATTTATTAATATTTTATGTAGCATTTTCAATTGCTAATTTAGCTTTATCTTTCTATTCTCCCTTCTTTTTTTTTTCATTTTCTTCTTTAATCCCTATAATTTTCTTCTCTCCTTATTAAACAATTTCTAATGCTTATAAATCACCACATTTTGATAATTCATCTTCTAAGATTTCTTCAAGCATAGGATCAAATCCTCTTTTTAAACTTGCTCCAAAAAAGTTTTATTAATTATGAAATTCACTTCTATATTTGGCTACTATTTTTGACAATGATTCTAATTATTTCTTACGACTCATCATACTCTATGATGAAGCTTCATATTATTAATATTTGATTTTCAATCCATCATAAGTAATCTAACATTGTTTTTAGACTTCTAAAAGTAATTTTCCTTATTTTAATTATTCTAATTACTTCTTTTTCCATACATATCTCTAAGTTTAGCTATTTCATATGTTTATTTAGCCATCTTTTCTTCTTACATTTATTCCTTTTAAATTAATTCTTCAATTGATTCTTTGACTTCAGTATCATCATTTTATATTGCTAAATCATTTAATAATTCATCCATTCTTCTACTCTTAATTATCATCTATTTTATTTCATATAATAATCTATCCTTATATAATCGCTATTTATTCAATTATTCTTCCTTTCGTTCCAAAGCACCTTATATTTTTGGTCTTGATTCTAAATCATGTAAAGCTGTAACGATTCTTTTATTATATAAATCATGCAAACTTTTTTATTGTTCATTTCCAATATGAGCATATAAATCTTTATAATGATTTTACACTAAATCTTCATATTCTTTTTTAATCTCCTCAATCTGTTACTATTAAGATTCTTATAAAGGTTTAGGTTTCTGTGTTTTGTCCTTATCCTTTTTTCCAGGAGCTATATATATATATTAAATATTATAAATACGTAGTAATTTAGTAGTTGCCTATTATAATGCATCTCGAAACAATTCAATCTTTTTTACTTTTGAAAGGGATTTTGGAGAATGTTAATGTCCTGGTTATGAAGTCTTTTGATTCACACTTTTTGAAGCATTCTAATTATTGCCCAATTATGGCAGTTTTGAATTAGAAGTTTAAGTCTTTTATGGCTGTAACTGATTTATTCAATTATTACATACTTCCTTTTATCCTTTATTAATTGTTTGTTCTGGTTGTTTCGAAACATTTATTTTAGGCTGCATCAATTATACTGGTGCTGTGAGATCAAATGTAGAACCACCTCCATCCATTGTTTATATAAATTATAATTAATACTAATTGAAATTGTTTGCAAATTTCTAAACTCATTATAATAATATATATCCTTTAAATAACTTAATTAATTATTCACTCTTTCTTAATTAAAATCAATATGATTTTTGTAATCTTTTGTAATACAATATTAAAATGAATTCATTATGATTTTTGAATATTTATAATAAAATTTAATCATTAATCCATATTAAATAAATATGTATCAAAATTTTATTAGATGTCTAAATTAATCTATTAAATGAATAATTAGAATTATAATTTTAGTACTTAAGAAATAATTTGAGGATTTAAATATTTCACATTTGATTTATTTTAGATTATAATTATTATAATAATTAATAATATAGATAATGGCTTCATAATAAATTAGTATAAAATATGGATCCCATAGAAAATAAGTTTAATAATCTTAAAACTTTTAAGATTTAATTGAATTTGCAAGACAAGAAACTTAAATAAGAATATTGTATTAAATACAATTTATAATATTAAAGCTATATATAAAATTATAGAGTAGTTTATGTAGAAAATTAATAATAATATGATGATGCAATTTATAATCAAAATGTGACAGAATTTTTTTTAGAGAATGATATTATAAATAGTGAAACCTATTTAGATATTTTTATGAAAATATTATTTGCCAATAATTAATGTTGCAATTAAAATGAATATCTTTGTGCGATTTGTTCTAATTATGTGTAACCTGAAAATTATTGTTAAATTGTAAAAGAATGTCTTTTTGAAATGCTGTAAAATGAAGAGTTTTAAAAATTGTAATTTATACTGTAAATTATATAGATGCTAAAAATTATTTTAGAAAAAAGTTTAAGAGGTTGATTCATTCTTAGAATAATTTATTAAAATAAATAAAAAAAAAAATAATAATATTTCTATCATAAATTAACCAATTAGCAAAATCATATAAGGTCCCTAAGAATTAAAATATATCAATATTACCATACCTTCATTAAATCAAGAAATTTCTTTATTTATATAGTAAAACCCATATTCAGATCCACCTACTTAGTAATTACCACCTTAATCAATCATCATTCCTTAATAAGAAATAAATTAAACATAAGAAATAAATAAATCCATTAATAATTTTAATTAATCAAGTAAGATTTAACCATAATCTTAAATATAATAATCATCTAAATTGTTTGATTAATAAGAAATTAAATCTGAATTAGATTTTTCAATTTATTATAAGTTAAAAGAAAACCAAAAATTAGAATTTTACACTGATACTTCTGCTATAATATGGATATCCATCAAAAATAATGGAAAAAAACGTTGGCCTGATGATGTTTAAATTATGCAACTTAAAATATTAAAAAAAAACTGTATATATGTTTCATCACTAAAACCTAATGAAGAAAAATCTGTAAAACTTTCATTTCAAACATCTGATGTATTTTATTTTATTAACAATTTAGACTCCTGGGGAGTAAAATTCAGAATGGGCTCTATTTTATAAGGATGATAATAAAAAAGAAAAAAGGATTGGATCTATCTTCAGTATTAAATTTAAAGTTAAGGATTAAAGTTTTGAAAAAAAGGTTTTAAAATATGCAGATTACATCAAAGCCAAAAATATATGTAATTTGAACAAAAATGAAATATAAGAAGAAGTTTTAAAAATATTATAGATTTAACCAGATTTAAATCGCGAATAAGTATTAAGTTAATTTGAATAGTAATATAAATGATTAATATTATTTTAAAATCAAAATTTAGTGTATGAATACATAAATTTTAAAATTAGAATTGTATTTATATAATTTAATAATTAATCTTAATTATAAATTAGTTCTATACAAATTTATATTTAAAAAATAAATGTTAATATTATGATTTTTTTTAAATAAAGGTAGAAATCTTCATTTAGGTTGTTCAAAATAAGCTAAAATAATTTCTTCAATTTAATTCTCACTTCCATACATTTCAATAAATTCAATAGCCTATTCTAATGAAATTTCTGCACTGTCCATCAATTACTTTATTTTTTATTCCTTCATTTAATCCTAACTATTTTTAACAGTAGTAATTATTAGTGATATTTTTGGGCCAAAATATTTAATTTAATTTTATTCAATATAAGTCATCTATTATAATAATTATATGATTATTACTTAAAATTAATTTTTAAAATTCTAAATTTCATAATTTGGCATCTAACAAAGATATTTTAATTTAGCTGTTTCTCCTGGATTGATATCATGTTCTAACTTATAATTAATTTATTAATTTACTTCAATTTTAACATTTTTAAAATGTCCATTAAGTCCCAAAAGTGCTACTTAATTTTTTTACCAAATAATGTCACCTTTATTGACCATTTCAATTTACCATTCAAATTTTTCATTTACATTTTTAGATATCATATAGTCATATTTTACTATTTCAATTTTATATCTTGCTAATAAAGGCTTTACATTCTCATTTTATAATATTCCATGATATTACAATCTTTTATCAATTCTTTCAATTAGAAATTATTTAAATTCTTCAGAATAATAATCTAATACCTAAAACTCTTACTTTTCAATTTGTTTGATAATTCTAAATTTACATATTAAAATATATATACTCTTAAGTTAAATTTTGTTATTGTTAAGGCTGATTATCTTCAATGATAATTTATTATTATTATTATTTCTAATTTAAGAACTCATCTTTTTATAATTATTGAGGTTATTGAAGTAGATTCATGACTGTAGATAATTAAATAGTAGATTGAACAATTACACTCTAATTTAATACTAAAAGATCATCATTGGTTAGTTTAGGATTTGTGGAATCTTTAACTAAAAATTTAATTGATGGACAATTCATCTGATTTTAGATATCTTTGATTCTATTAAAACAAGTTTAATCTAAAATTTTAAATGGTTCCATTTCTATTAATATTTAAAAAGTTTACAGGGATGCAATGTTACATATAGATCAAATCCATTATTTAATTATTAAGGGTATAAGATTTATATAGCATTTTTGATTTCTTCTAAGGTTTAATATTTTGATGAGATTTTGTGGGTTTTTGTGTTATAAACTATTTTAATATTCATTATTAATAATGTATAGTATAATTTAATAATAAATATTGAAAATGTAGAATATATTGATGAATATATTTATGCATATTTAGAAATGAAAAATATAAATATAATTATGAATATTTCAAAAAGAATAATAAATTATTTTTGTGTTGTAGGAACAGGAAATAAATTAATACCTCAGAATACAGAATTCTAAAAATGTACAAAATATCATTTTCATACATAGAACATACTTTGACATCTTTGGAAATATAAATAAGTCAATTAAGTGAGGATATTCCAATAAAAGATAATGAAAAATGGGTTGATCTTTGTGGTAATAAACAAGTGTGGTTGAGATGCATATATGATCAGAATTCTTAACCAATTACATCTCTAACAATAAAAGAATTAAAAGTTGAAGATAATGAATTAGTATTTGAGTTTTATAATAATACAGAAAATACCATTAACAGAAGACATTTATCCTGTGCCAATCAAACGTAAATTCGATTAGATCACACATCAATTTAAGGGAATAAATAATGGGTATTCCTTATATTAAGGATATTATGATATCTCTTAATACACAGATCAATAATAAAAAAAAAATTATCATTTAGTTCTATGTTATAAAACATAAAACTAAAACAATTATTAGTAACCTATTTGTGACATCCAAATGATATTGGCAGATAAAATAGATAAGAAGAAATACACATCTTCATTCAGTGACATGAGACTAGTAATTCCAAAAGATTTTCATGCACTTCAATTTCCATTAAGCAATTTTCGTTTTATCATATTCAAATAAAGTAAACCTACTAAACTATAAAATTTATTTAAGAATAGTCCCCATTTAAAGTAGCATACATGCCAAAAATAATAGATAGATATCCTCTAGTAGATCATCATGATAGTCCATTATCTCATATGATATCTATGATACCTATGGTAATTATAATTTATAATAAATATTAGTTTTGTTTTCCATAAGGCATTTATATAGAGAAAAGTGAAATAGATCCTATTTCTAAAGGTTAATAAATCTTCAATTTTGTATTAACATCAGAAACTGGAAAAAGAACTTATTGTATTTGTTTGATTTTTCATGAAATTATACCCAAAGATATTATGGAGTAATTAGGACATATAGATAAACAATAATTAATTTGTTATCCAAAATCATTATGTTTATTGAGTTCATATAATTATCCTGAGTAAATGAGAGAATTAATAAAATATATTTACAGATGTTCACTTTCTAAAAATAATATTCCAATTGAAAGTACAATATGTAATATCATAAATAAAATAAAATTTCCTTAACAGATTTTTGAATAAGAAAATATATGCTTAAAATATGTATTACCATCTTATGATATCTGTTTTTATACTAATTACAAATATCCTGTTGGATACAATGAGGCCTTGGAATGTTTATTTAGATTATTGGATATTAATAGAATCATAAATATATATTGTGCAATTTTATTGGAGAAAAAGATTCATTTTATATCAAATCATTTATCAGTTCCTGGATTAGTAATAGATGCATTTTTATAATTGTTATTTCCATTTTAATTTACATCTATTTTAATACCAGTATTACCTGATAGTTTGAGAGGATATATTGAAGCTCCTGTACCTTTCTTAATTGGATATAGTTAAAAAAATATAATTGAATAAAATCAACATACATAAGTTGATAGTTTGTATGTATATTTGGATACTAATTTTATTGTAAATTGTGAAAATTTAACTCCAATACCTGAAAAAGCATTAAAGAAATTAAAATCTAGTTTAAAATCTTTTAATAATTTATTTAATGATGATTATTCAAAATAATACTTAAAAAGAGTAGATTAAGCTTATCATATTTATATGGATGATGACAATTATGATCCTGAATTCAATAAAAATATAGATTGGTATTAAATAAGAAATGCATTTTTAGAATGTAATAGTATTCTAATGAAACAATATAAAAAATACATTATTGCTAATTCAAATAATGAAGGTGATTTTACTGAGATATTTAATGTTCAAGGTTATTATGATCATTGGAAAAAAGATAAATTTATATAATAATTTATGGAAACAAGAATATTTCAATATTTTATTTAAGAACGTACAAAATTCAGTGAAAATGAATCATAATACTAATTTTTTGATAAATATATGGATAGTAAGGATTATAAATTGAAATTCATGCTTCCTAAATAAATTATTGAAATTTAAGTACCTGATGAAGATTAATTAACAGATTCAATTTATAAATATGATAAATTTCCATAATTGAATCATGATCTTATGAAGGATGATTAAACAGATGATTAAGAAATTAATTAAGAAATTTTATAAGAAGAAATACCTTAATTAGATTAATAAAAATGGCCAAGGTATATGCTTGAAACAATGTATAAGATATGGTTTTTAATTTTTATTGTTAATGTAAGAAATAATTAAGATAACAAAATATTTTAATAGATGACTGAAGTAGCTATCTTAGTATTAGAATATATGAGAGAGAAACATTTAAATTTAACTGAAAAATTATTTAGATATGTTTTAGAATCATGTGGATATTTTTAAATGGATTCAAAAGCTTTATATTTAGTTAAGTTAATGAAAGAAATTAAATTAGAAGCATCACCAGCTACTCATGGTGTTTATTTCTAAGCTGTAGCCTAAGCTATGAATTAAAAAGGATTACCAAGTGATCAATAACAAATTTCAGGAGTACTTTAAGAAGAAGTAATCTTATTATAAAGAAATGATGGACAAAATTCTTATACTAATTCTGTATATTCTCTACATTCAAATTGTCCAATTTGTAAAAGGAAATTGCATTTTGAAGAAATATTAGATTCATATAGAAAGAGTCAATATGAAAATACTATTGAGTGTTTAAAAATAAATTAGGGTTGTGGATAATCATTTATTCCAAAAATATAAATTACATTCTATTAAGAAGAAAATCCAATTGAGGCTGAATTATATGATATATATAATCCAATATAGATACTCAAAAATCTAGAAAATATTGTTAATATTAAAGGAGATACTTTCTTGTTGAGTGACTAATTTGAAAAATAATACAAGAATTTATATGTTAACATTATATTTTATATCAGATTAGTGAAATTGCCATATTACCATTTGGTAAAAATATAAGATACAAATGAACTTTAAAATCAAGTTGATTAAAGTATCAAGAAATTACAAATGAAGAAATCATCAACTATATTCTAAAGAGTAGCATAAGAATTTGATTCATACAGAGGAAAGGTATCTTAATAAGGAGATTCATCAGGAAACTCAAGTTCTAAATTTAAGTAAGATGATTATTCTACAGCATAAAATTATGGAAGTAAATATATGAAGAAATTGTTCTCATCACTTATTAATGATTAATTTTCACTACAGAATAAAAGATAAAGTTCAAGCAATTTCTAATCATTGTAATAGTTTGATGAAACAAAAGCAGAAAGCCCAAAATGATTCTATAATAATTTATTATTTAAAAAATGCTTATTGTATAAAATTAAAAGAATCAATATACTAAATACAATATTTTAATACTTTAATATTTTAAATTTTTATTAATAAAATAAGGAAAGAGAATAATATAATAATAAATCAAATATAATCTTAGGTATTTTATGTATTTTTAAGAAACTTAATAATTATAATTAATTTTATATACTTATATAATTATTATTGTCTAATCCCTTTTTAATGAAAAATATTTTTAATTAAAAATTTATATATTTTATTTTAATCTTAATATTAATATTAAATAATGATGATAATTTTAAAGGATATTTAAATTAAAAGAAATAAAACTTTTATTAGATTTGAAAGAGTTTATAAAATCGAATTTAATGAATTTCAAAAATGTTTAATTATTGAATATTTCTAATTTAGAATTTTGATGATAATAAAGTATGTTTTCTAACATTAATACACAATTTTTTATAGTTCAAGTTCAAGATTTCAACACATGATTCTATTTTTACGCAATGATTTGAGAAATTATATTGCTTATTAAGGAGATTTATTAGTTTATATTAGTTTTTTCTTTAATCTTTAATTTGTCCGTTCTTTTTTTCCATTTAATATGGATTTTATTATTTCTAATATACTCATTATTTATTATTCCTTCTCATGTTTACTTTGTCCTTCTAACAAACTCATACATTTCTTAGCTTTTAGTTATAAATTAACTTCTAATGGAGTTTAAAATTCATTATTTAATATTAATGTTTATTCTTTTTATATGATTGAAGATTCATCTTTTTAATCATTCACTTCACTTAGTGAAACTATCTCAAAAGGCATAGGCTTATACTTCATAGGGTTATCATATGAGGTTATTGAGGTTAATTTATTTTTGCTAATATATAATTATGGAAAGGTTCTAATGTAGGTTTATTGCTTTAATTAATTAATTGATTCCTTAAGACTATAAAATTTAAGCACATCCTCCATATATTTATTATTATTAATTATTAAATCAACATGATTTTCATTATTTTACTAATAAATATTCAATCATCATAAATAATTAAATTTTATATGTTATTCTTATTGAACATAGCATATTAATTTAATAAATTAAATATCTTTAGTAAATACATTACAAATGGATAACTAATTGTTGATAAAGAAATAATGGCTAATTAAGTCAAGACCAGAAAGGATTGAAGATATTTATGAATCTGATAAAAAAGTAAAGTGAATTAATGAAAGTTTTAGGAATTAGGTTCTGGAGCCTATGGTAGAGTTTTCAAAGCTAAACACAAAGAATTAGGATTAGAAAGGGCAATAAAGATGATTCCTAAAAAGTTAATAGCATCTCCAGATAGATTTAAAAGAGAAATAGAAATAATGCAAAATTTAGTATTGAATTTTAAAATCAATATAGGATCATCCTAATATAATTAAATTATTTGAAAGTTTTGAAGATTCTAGAAATGTCTATTTAGTCATGGAGTATAAATATCTATCATATATTATAAGAATTTGTACTGGTGGAGAGTTATTTGATACAATCATTGAAAAAGGTCATTTCACAGAAAAAGAAGCTCAATAAACCTTTTTATAAATCATGTAAGCAATTCATTATTGTCACACTCATGGAATATGTCATAGAGATCTTAAACCAGAAAACTTTTTACTCTTAAACAAAACACCAGATGCTCCTATAAAAGTCATTGATTTTGGACTTAGTGTACTATTTCATGATAGTCATTACAAAACAGTAGATGGAAAGACATAAATGAAATCAAAGGCAGGAACTGTATGATTATTATACTTAAAATAGCCTTATTATATTTCACCAGAAGTATTAGATGGAAAATATGATGAACTTTGTGATGTTTGGTCAGCTGGTGTTATTTTATACATTTTATTAACAGGATTACCTCCTTTTAATGGAAGAACTGATGCTGAAATCTTGAAGGCTGTTAAGTCAGGTGTTTATAAATTAGATATTCCTTAATTTAATGGAGTTTCAAATGATGTTAAAGATTTGATTTAAAAGATGTTAACTAAACCTGATCAAAGATTAACAGCTGGATAAGTATTATAGCATCCTTGGTTGACTGCAGCAGAAATTCCTCATTCTATATTGACTTTAGATTATAAATCATTTAAAGGATTTAGTGCTAGCAATAAATTAAAGAAAGTATTATTCAAAAAATTGAAAATAGGTAACATTAACTTATATTGCATCATAATTATCAGAGGTAGAAATTCAAGAATTAGGAAAATTATTTAAAGAATTAGATCAAAATGGAGATGGAATTCTAACACTAGAAGAAGTTAAAAAGGGGTTGCATAATTTCTAATAGGAAAGTTGGGGTGAAGTTATTTAAATTTTGAAAGCTATAGATACTGATTGTAATGGAGTTATTAATTATACTGGTAAGAAATATATATATTAATATGATTAGAGTTTATTGCTGCAACAATGGAGAGAAACATGTATATGAAAAAGGAAAAACTATTATAAGCCTTCAAGATGTTTGATGTAGATGGAAGTGGTAAAATTAGCAGTGAAGAATTAAAGAAATGTTTGGGAGGTATCTTATATTATTTTTAAATAAGATAATGAAATATATTAATAATCTGATCCATCATTATGGTAAAACTTGATTAATGAAGCAGACTAGAATAAGGATGGAGAAATAGATTATCTTGAGTTTGTAGAAATGATGGATAAAGTTGATGCAAAATGATTTATATACAGATATTTATAAAATATATTATAATATTGATATAAAATGATTTAGTTTTATCATAGATAGCATATATTGCTTAATTAAAATAGATATTTAAATTTAAAAGAACATTCAAATAAACTTTAGAAGAGTATATTCAATTTAGATTTTATTTAATTATTAAAGTGTATATCTCGATCTCTTATTTAATAAAAGCAAATTCAATATATTTTAGTTGATTTTCTAAAAAATTCATATTTAAAATATTATTAAATGTTAAAAATTATATCTTTGATCTCTATATACGGAATTACTATAGTGTTAAGTGTGATTCTTATGATTGTTCAAAAGAAGATCAAACGATTAAGACATAATCCTGGATAGATATTATATGGCATATTATAATCACAAACAGTATTTATGACAATTTCATATTATAGATTTTAAGTATGTTTATGATTTTTAGTCAATTTTATGTTGTGGGTGAGTAAGAGCATTCAAAATATACAATTGTAATTACTGAGACTGGTTGTAGTTTGATTGCTGTACCATCCTTAATTGCATCAATGTTATATGTATTATTAAACATCTTATTAATTGCTAATCTATATTGTTAAATTTATGTAAAGAATTACAATAGTTTTAATTTGAAAGAAGAATTCATGTTAGGCTTAACATTAATAATAATTATATCTATTTTATTGGTTTTGATAAGCCAAGATTTAGGTGTTAGGTATTTTTTATAAAGTGACAAGTATTTTAGGAGATTGCAATTTAGAATCTGAGAATGTGTTTTCTGTTTTTTTAGTCTACTTAAGAGGCATTTTGATGATAATTTTATCAATAATATTGATAAAATTATAAAGAAATTCACCTGAAATATTGTAAACAGAAATATATAAGACGACTATGGATAAATTTATTAGGAAATACTTACATACCTATATTAAAGTGAATGTAAGTTATGCTTGGCTATTTATAATATCAAGATTGTTAATTGTATTCTATTGTTTTAATAATAATAGCCAATAATTTTGAATTATAATTAAAATTAGGAATAATTAATTATGATATTGTCAATTAGTTAAGGAGCTATAACTATGATCATGACATTTATTAGATTACATGAGCCAATTATGCATCGACATGTAAAGTATTTGTTTAGACCTAAAACTTGTGTGTTATAAGAGAGACTGCTTGATAAAAAGAATGAGCAACGTGAGGATTCTAAATGTTATCAGAATATTACTATTTAAACATAAGGACAAGATATTATTGGAATTAAATTGTATCAATAATAAAATAATAACTAATTTATATAATCCTAAGAAAAATAAGATATTATAAATTAAAGGCCTTTAGAATCTACACTTATTTAACAAATTGAGATATAAAATGTTATAGAACATAAGGGACATAATGAATTATTATTGTTATTATAAGCAAGTTATGAGATGTTAGAAGATTTTTAATATTGTTAAAATAGTGATATGACTTATTACTAATTCAATAAAATTTAATAACGTTTAATTCCAATAAAATATAATAATAATGATATATTAATAACAACTTATGGTTAAGATATTTTAAGTTTTAAATTAAGGGAATATTTTGGAATAAATTTAAAACAAATAAAAAATTCTTTAAATATTTCTCTTAATATTGATAATTTAAGATCATAATAATTACCTTAAGAAGGTACTCTATTTATTACTCATGACAATATGATTTCTATAGAATTTATTACTAGAGATTAAAAGAGATAATTAACAAAAGGAGGTGGAATATAATTATTATGGTAAAGATTCGATTAAGAATTTATGTGTACTCTTGGTATATTTTTACCAGTAATATTTGGTATACATTCATATTGTTTAAATGATAATTATTATACTTTAGTTTTTAAATTAAATAGGTTAAAAATATAATATCCATTATTAGATGAATTATGGTCTAATTAAATAATTCTAAATAATTTAATTAATTAAAATATAATTGGATGGATAACAATTGAAAATGGAATTTATAATAAAAGATTTTTAGCTTAAGAAGTAAAAGATGTGAAATATGATATTACATTTGATAAAAATGATTATTTATTAGATGAAAATGATAAAATATCTTTAATAGATATGATTAGACGTGATTATGTAAGTATGTAATAAATGAAATGTTCTTTTACATTGTAATTTGTATTTACAAAACACACATCTGAAAGATTAAATAGTATGGCAGGAAAAGAGAAATAATTTGATTAAGATTAATCAATAGCAATTAAAAATAAAAAGAAAACCAAAAATTTGATTGGTAACATAGCTTCTTTCGAATTAAAGACTAATTTGGGTTTTGTCTAAGTATTTTGGGATGATTGTTGGAAATATTACTAATCTGATATTGAAAAACTTATATAAGTTATTAATGATAAATTCTGAATATTTACAATATATCATTTTTATTTAATATATATTTTATTATCTATGGCTAGGCCAAAATTATTTAATTTGATATTATGTAATTAAACCTTATTTTCTTTATAATAATAATCTATTAATATTCTCTTAAAGATAAATTAAACATAAATATGAATAATTAGACTCAAGAAATAAATTTATAATTATCAATGTTATTATTTAATCATTTTAATATGTTCAATAATTGGATTTGGAAGCTTAGATGAAATCTATTCTTCTCAACATTGAGCTTACTGTGTGTTCTAATTCTTAAATTTAGTGATAATATTGGCCACTTAGATTTTAGATTTCTTTTGTACTCAATCCTGAAAGTGTTCGATTCACTTTGATCAAATCAGCTGCATTCAAAGATGGAGTTTGTAGCTTTCTTTATCTCATACTGTTTTAGTCTTCTTTCCAAGTATTAGCATCAAAAGAAACAAAACTTTATGATGTAGATCTATCAAATTTCTTCCAATCTGATAAGGATGCTAAGTGATGATGTTAATTTATATCATGATCGACATGCAACTTCTTACTTTATAAGGGACTTTAATTTAATGACATCAAATTTTTGTGATCCATATGAAAAGTCTTAGCAATTTATCTTTACTTATCTTCTGTTCCATCCATTTTAGCTTAGGCAGTTTTGCGTACATAATTTCTAAACTCTTGCAATTCTTAACGGTTCATATTATTTGTATTTGTGTACGATATATTAGAATGATTGTACATTTTAAGGATTTTGAACAAAATAAAAATTTATTTATGAATAAATATCTAAAATATGCTACTCCATTTAATTAGAAAGATTTAATTTATATTATTTTTTAGAGAAACTGATATTTTTATATGTTATATTAATAACTATGATGTATTGATCAATTAAGTTCCTAATTCATATTTTATTAATTTAGAAATAAAATTCAATATTTTTAATAGAAATCAAATGTAAGAATATTTGGTGGAAATTATTGCATTTGGAAATTGTTTACAAATTAATTTAGATAAAAGTACTACAATTGGAGAACTTTATGGATTTCTAGAAGAATAATATCCAGAGTACTTCTATAATAAATTTAAATTAGTTGGTTTATAAATGAAGGTGGATAAAATTTAAAATTAATCTTCTTAGCAAAGAATTAAGTTTTAGAAAGAAGTTCAAATACATTAGAGAGCATTTTAATGAATAACAAAAATTGTAAGTTTGAATTGAAAGATCAAAAAAATTTTATGAATTCTAATGATTTTATTGATTCAAATGAAATTCGTCAAACACAAGTGCAGGCTCTGCAAAAATAGAATTCTAATAATCTCTAAGTTTAGAATACTTAATAATAAAGGAATTATTAAAATTAAGTATAACAATAATAAGTTGGATTAAACTAATAACACTTATCATAGCCTATATAATAAAACTAAGGGTATTAATAAAATATATATCCTCCTAATTAATAATAAAACCAATATTATAATTAATAAGTTATAAATTAAAATAATTTTCAATAATTAAATAATAATTATTAATAGGTTAATCCATAATTATACCAATAAACTTAAATGAATAATTATAAGAATCAAATTTAACCTAATATGTAAATATTTTGATATAATTTTTTTAGAAAAATCACAATTAAATACTAATAGAATTAAATTTTATTAGATGTTGATTCAACTCTTACACTAGATTAATTATTAGCACATTTCTATTAATAATTTTAAATAGATGAATAGATTGAATTGTATTATGGAAATATACTTTTATCTAAAATGGATCACAATCTAACAATTATTCAGGCAGGAATCAATAATTAATCAGTTATAGAATGTAGATAATCATAACCATAATTCTAATAAAATCTAATTACTGAAGTAAATCCATCGAAAACATCTTAACCAAATTCATAGTTTAGTCAATTCTATTAATAAATGTAATTTTAGTAAGCCCTTCCTAAACAAGTTTATTAATAAGGTCCTCCTTAACAAGTTTCTCATCCTTAATAATAGATAAATTAATTTTAATATTAATACTAAAGTCCTTAGGAATTCCCTATAATTGACATCAACTTTACCATTTTAGATGGTATTATTAATCGTAGCTTTTCAATGAAGGGCACTATATTGCTCACAATAAATGATTTAATTAATACAATTTAATAATACTTAGGATTGAGTAGGTAAATGTATTAATATTTTTAGTGAAGCTGCTGCAATTTAGATTTATTTAGGTAATATTCAAATATAAGGAGAAAAATTAAATTTTTCTCTTTAAATGTTATAAATGGTTAAAAGTCCTTTATAATTCACTGCTAAAGTAATGTATAGTGGAGGACAATGAACGCAATTTTATATAGATTTTTTTCAAAATTGAATTGGATTTATATTTTTTTTAAGTTATACATCAAATTCTAAATGTCTTTGAAGGATTTTTAATTACTCTCAAAATTAGGTATTCATTAAATAAACTAACAATTGATAGGGGAAGGCGCATACTCTTCTGTTTACAGAGTAAAACGATTGGAAGATGGTTATGAATATGCTTTAAAGAAAGTAAAATTGCAAAACTTGAATGATAAAGAGAAGTAAAATGCAATGAATGAGGTTCGCCTTTTAGCATCTGTAAAGCATCCAAATATAATTTGTTATAAAGAAGCCTTTATTGATATACAGAGTAATTCATTATAGTATACTAAAATTTGATTATATTAGTATAGTGATGGAATTTGCTAATCGGAATGACTTGTATCAAAAGATTGTGAATAGTAAAAAGAACAACAAGCAACTTGATGAGTAATCTATTTGGAATATTTTTATCTAAATAGTAAGAGCTTTGAAAGCATTACATGAATTAAAATCTTACATAGAGATATAAAAGTATAGATTTTTATCATAATAAGAGTGCCAATGTATTTTTATCTTAAAATGGAGATGTGAAATTGGGAGATATGAATGTTTCAAAAGTGGTTAAGAAAGGTTTACTTTATACTTAGACTGGAACTCCTTTCTATGCAAGATCAGAGGTGTGGAAAGATCAACCTTATGATTAAAAATCAGATATTTGGAGTTTAGGATGTGTGATCTATGAAATGGCAGCTTTAAAGCCACCCTTTTAAGCAGAAGACATGTAGGGCTTATATAAACGAGTCATTCGTGGATACTATCCTAGAATACCTCAACAATATACTTAGGGTCTCACAAATGCTATAAGATAAATGTTGTAGGTGCAACCAAATCTAAGGCCCAATTGTGATAAACTCTTACAATATCCTTCAATATTAAAGAGGTAAGATGAAATATTACAACTTGAACAAATAAGCAATGAACCTAATACATTATTGTTAACAATAAAATTTCCCAAAAGCTACCATTATTTTACATCTATGTTACCAAAAGCTTGTTATGATTTCGTTAATAGAAGGCAAATTAAATCTCTTCATTCATAATAAGTTAGCCCAAATCCTAGATCGATAATAAGTGTAAATGGAAATTATGAAGATGTAACTAGTTAAAAATCAATTCATAAATAATGTGTTAATAAACCCTAAAAAGAATTTAAGATGATATTGGATTAGCACTAAAAAGTATGAAAAACTGCATTTTATAGCAAATTCGAAAACCAAAAATGAAAATTAGACACTATAGACACTAAAGTTAAGAAGAAGTTAGTTTATTAGAAATAATAACCAAAAATAATAAAAAATCTCATTAGAAAATAACAAGTTACCAATATTATAAGAATTATCTCCAAATAAATAAAAAATTAAGCATTATAAAATTAGAAATTAAAGTTTACCAAATTGTAATCTACTACTTCCACTTATTCAAGCAAGTGTTTTAAAATGAAATATTATAATTTAAATTATTTATCATATGATTCATAATTCGAATAGAAATCCAATTACAGATCCTTATTCTTTAGAGGATTAACTAGCTAGAGAATTATAAAAACGTAAGGTTGAAGAAGAGAAAAAAAGAAAAGAAATAGAAAGAATTTGTGCTGAGAGTGAGGAAATCAAACTACTTAAATAAAAAGTTTAAACTGCATATGTGACAAAAGAGAGAACTTAATAATTAGCTGAATAGTAATTGAGAAGAATTTAAGAGTTGGTAATTATAGTCAGTTATATTTTCAAAATAGAAATAAGAAAGTGAAATTGAAGCTGCAATTCTTGAAAAATTGAAAAGAGAACAAGAGTAAGAAAGAAATAAAGAAAAATATAGACTTTAATAAAGACTAGAGGGAAAATATGTATTTGAATTCATCATCATCAATAGACATTATAAAAATAAATGAAAGAACATGAATAATTAAGAGATGAAGCAAAAGAATAATATAATTATGAGAAGGAATAAGTTAATAGAGTTATTCAATAATTAATTAATGAGGATCGTAGATTTTTAGAGGATTAGGCAAAAAAAAAGAAAATGGCTTTTTCAGATATGTAAAATGCTTTAACAGAAAAAGCAGAATTAATATTTAGAATAAAATAAAGGGAAAGAGAAGAGAATTAGAAATATTTAGATTTTATGAAAGAAAAAGATAGATAAGCTCATGAAATTAAAGTAAAAAAATAAGAAGAGAATGCAGCTAAGTAATAAATCTTAATAATTTTTTTAGAGATAAGATATTTTAAAAATTAAAGGAAGAAGAAGAAAGAAGAAGATAAGAAGCAGAATTGTTGACTGAACTTAGATTTTAACTCTATTAAGAATAATATGATGCTTAATAAAGATAAAAAGATATTGATGAAGCAAATAAAAGAGAATTTTAAAAAAGAGAAATGTAGTAGGCTGAATAAGAAGCAAGATTGAGAAAATAAAAATAGAAGGAGGAAGAATAATAAATGGAAAGAGATTTTAGAGATTAAATGATGAGAAAGTTTGCTGAAGATGATAAACTTGAACAATTAGGATAATAAAAACGAAGAATGAAGGAAATTGAACATAAAAAAGAAGTTGAAAAATTATGGTAATAGAAATTGGAAATGTATTAAATGGAAAAACAAAGAGAACTTGAATAATTAGAAAGAAAAAGAAGAGAAGAGGCATATAAATAATAAGTTATTGAAGAAGAAAAAAATCGTATTCTTCAAGAACATTTATAATAAGTTGGAGAATTCATTCCAAAAGGACTCCTATTAAAATAAGGAGATACTCAATTTATTAGGTAAGGATAATCAAATGCAAGTTATTAATCTGGTTTTAGAATATGAAATTATAAATTTTAAATATTTACAATAAATAAATAAAAGGATTATGTTAAAAATACTAATTTTATTTACCCTTTTATTCAAAAAATACTAAAAATTCTATTGTATATAATAATTGATTATATTTTAAAGAAGTTTTAGTATCTTTCAATCAATAATATAAATTAATTAGTCTGTAAAATGAAAGTAGAAACTGATTCAAAAAGATTTGATAAAAAATATTTATTAATTAAATAAAATCCTTTAAAAAGGAGATTAATTATAAAAAGTATAATTGGAAAAAAAAGTAAAGCAAAACTAATTTGTTGAAAAGAATTAAGAATAAGAATATATATTCCAAAATAATAAAAAATACTATTGAGAAAATAACTTTAGATTATTTATCAATTATCCTTTTCTTTTGAAGATTTAATGATAGTTTATTATTATTAATAATTTTGATGAATCACTTAGAAATGAAACCCATTATGTAAAAGTATCTATGGTATGTTTAATTTAAATTTATAATTAAGCTTGGACTTATAAACAGAGTGCATTTTTAAGAAGAATTTATTATTATGATAAATTTATTTAACATTATTTTTGTTCCTACTCAATAAAGTATATTATAATCAAATTATTATTTTAACATTTGGCCAGAGCTTTATATTTAAAATTCTTTAATTTCAGGTATCTCTTCATATCCAAGACCATTATTGAAAATCATTGTTTTTTAAAGAGATCTTTTCAACATATCTATAAATATATACAATTTATTAATACTTGTATTGATATAAAAATGTTCTCTTTTATTTTTCACAAAAGCTATTGCTTCATTTAATGGAATTTGAAGGACAGATGATAAATATATTACTGCAAGGGAAGGTGCTCTACCAATTCCTGAAGTACAATGAATGTACACAAATTCATATTGATTTATTAGTTTTTTGAGAATTGATACAGCTTTAGATATTTTTTTTTCAAAATCCTGAGGATCCATATCAAAGATTTCAAAATTCTTCATATAAATATTGTGTTTCTTATAACTAGATAATATTTCATCCCAATCTACTCCTCTATGATATACATCCAATCTTGTTTATAAATTTAAAACAGCTCTGATTCCATTGTTACTTAAGATGATTATATCTTATTCATTTTATGGATAAGGACCTATAATAATGTTTTCATTTATTTGAGTAATAGAGAATTGAACAACGAAATTCCAATCTAATTTATTTAATCTACCAAAAGACTCATAATAAAAAAACGAAGGTTCCTTATCTGAAAATGAATAACCCATACTAGTTTCTTTATTACATTTTTATTGTTTTTCTGAACAAAATGATCCATTCTTCTTTTTTTGAAGTCTCTAATGTTAACAAGCAGTTAATAATTAAGTTTTAATTTTGATAGGAGATTTAGCATATTGATCCTAAACTTATCGAAAAGATCTTAGATCACTTGATTTCAAATATCTTCCATTACCTCTTTCCCATATCATTGAACCTGTATCATCATTTCTTATGACATAAAAATATCTAAATGAAAAATTCATTGAGTCTACTATGAAGGAGATAGACCATTGTTACACTGTCTCTCCGTTTACTAATATTACTGAATCGAAAATTACATATATCAATTTTAGATTATTATTTCATTAATACTGGATGAATCCATTAACCTAATTACTCAATACTTCCAATAACCATCATTCTTTATTTTTCAGGTAAATTGTAATTTAATTTCAATTTAATTGTTCTATACCCCCAATATTCACCTTTAATAATTAATTATAGTAAATACAATTAAAATATTCAGACTTTGTCTCATTCTAAATCATATGATTAGTGATAACTCTATTTTCTCCAGGTTCCCATAATGTATCATTCATAGTAGGATTATCATAATTGTTAACTATGAATTTGTACTCAATCTTAGAATATTTAGATCGATCTATTTTTATACAAATTGTCCACTCATCATTCTGTTTTAAAATACTATTCAAATTATACTTCATTCCATTAAAGTCGTAGTCCTTTGGTAGGGACCCAATTGCCAAGAATACTGCAATCTCCAACAATATAAATTGCTTTTCCTGGTTGAGTATGATAGTGAATTTTGAAATACACATTAAAATATGGCATTGGAAGCGTTGCAGTTGTAGATACTGATTGCTTCTTCATTTAATATTTCTTTTGAAAATTAATTTATTATATAATCAAAATCGATCTAGATCTTCCTCGTAAAATCTGGAAAATCAAAGGAAATAGTATAAATTATTTTGGGGAACACAATCCTTTGATTTAGAAAATTAGAGATTGTTAGATACCTATATATTGAATTTTTAAATTTCTTCTTCAATAAAATCATGAAATTAAGTTTATATTTGTATAACTTATTTTCTTGATTCCTACTTAATTGTAACACTTACTCATTATATATAATCAATCTTCTTATTATTTTTAATTAGAAATAAAGTTTTTAAAATTCCTTCTTGAATAATTTTCTTAAATGTAATTTCAAATAAGTTAATAATAAAGGCGACATCATTTCAAAATGAATAATTTTAGGTAAAGAAAGAACTGATATATCGCTAAAAATAAATAATATTATTCATTAATAAATAAATTCTGATTTTTAGAAAATTAAGCAAATTCTTACTTTAGAAGATATCAATCTAAAATATTTATAATAAATCATTCAGTTTTTAATCTTCCTTTATTAGGTTAAAGAAATTCTATAATAGTATGAGGAGCTATTCTTTTATCTGGATTAATGGTAAGCATTTCTCTTAATAAGAGTCTAATTTCTAAATCAACTTTAATTCCTCTTAATAAATAAAATTATAATACCTGAATAATTATTGTCTAGAAAATAGTCTAGATTTTTTATAACATAAGCTTATTTTTAAATAATTTGATCAAAAGATCTATTTTTCACAGCAAATAAACCTTGTTCAATAATTTCCTTATTATTTTATTTAACAATAATTTTATTTTATAACCAGAGAGGTATCCCATAAACTATTTCTAAAATTACACAACCCAATGACCATATATCTATTACCCAAGGTTTATAGTAATTTTATAAAACTTCAAATAATTTAATATCATAATCTTTGCCATTTTCATATTAAATATAATTTAAGATTTCTGGAGACATATATTCAGGAGTTGCCATAGAGAATTATGAGAGATCATCAAATATGAAACTACTTCCATAATCAATTAATTTGGTTTGAGTAATAATATAAGATCCATTAAGACATCTAGATTTTTTAATTAATATATTTTCTGTTTTAAGATCGCAATGAACAATCCGTTACTCAGTTAATAATATTAAAGCATGAGCAACGTCTTTGATAATCTTTTTTAGAATATTAAGATCTTATTTTAAACATATATATAATGGTTTTTAGATCATCTTGAATATTGAAATGATTAATTACTTTGAATACAATTTCATTTTTTATTTGTTATCCTTTCAAATCATAAAGAGTATTTTTTAAATTCTCTCCACATACTTCTGTAAAAATCCAAGTATCAGATCTTCCAATATCATATCCTAAATATTATACTAAACTTTTAATTCCTAAAGTTGACTTAAATTAAGGTTTTGGAATCCCATTATTAAAAAAATGAGATCCAAACCATATTTCACGTAAATAAGTTTGATTTGAATTGGATTGTTTTATTTATTTAATTGCAACTCTCATTTTTGTAGTTTTATGTTCTCCCAACCAAACTAATGAGAATCCACCTTTACCAAGAAGTTTGATTTTATGATATTATTATGGAAAATTATCAAGACACAAATCATCTTCAAGAGAATGTTTTTACTTATTATTTTGCTGTCTTTTACTACTATTATTAAGTATATTATGTTTTCTATCTGCACTTTTATTAGATGGAAATGCATTGCTAAATGATCTGGATTTATATTATTTATTAGTATTGTATGAATCTAAAATTAAGTAATCATCAATTATATCTATTCCTTATTCTGTTTTCTAAGTTAAACTATATTATTACAAGTCTTTTGTTTACTGATTTCTTTTTACAATTTATCACACTCAATATTGCTTCCTTTTCAAATTAATCAATTTTGTTAGATAATTACAATTTTAATTTTTCTTTCTTAGTTTTCTCAATTGAACTTTAACGCTTTTATTACTTTGTTTTTACATTATTGGGACTCTAATTCTTAGTCTTAAAAATACTATTATAAAGCATAAATTAATTAAAAACTAAAACCCATATTATTTCATGTAAGATATATATCTATAATTATTTATAAACAATTCAATCACAATAATTATGATGACTTTAAACGCTTCGACATGAATATAATGATATAACACTTCCCGACTGAAATATATTTTTATTTTAAAACTTAAATTTTACTTTTAAATTACATTGATATCAAATCATTTTATATTAATATTACAATCTAAACCTATTATCTCTTTCATTACTAATTATATCAAGAATCCTATCATTCTAAATCTTGTTAATGATATCATAGATTTACATTCTAAATTAATCATAAAAAAACTATCTATTTTAATTACAAAAAATATATACTTTTTATTTAAAATTCAAATTCTGAATCATTTTATGAATACTTTTATTAACCAATTAATATTTAAATTTATCTACCAATACTAATAAACAAATAAAAATCTATTATTATTTTAATTTTGTTTGAAATTCATTATTAATCTATTATATGAATAAATTTATTATAATAAATAAATATTATTAATTTAATATTATTATTTCTCTATTTGAGTACTAAACACATTCTTAAAAGCAATTCATCTATTAATTTTATGAACATACTTCCATTTTTAATTTTACATTTTTAATATTCTTAAATATATTTGTTAATTTATTGTAATTCTTAAACGCTACTCTAATTTATTAGATAAGTTAGAATTTTTTCAATATATGCTCAAAAATATTACTCTTTTATTAATTCCTCATATCTATTATTATTCTAATTCATGATATATATATAATAAAGAGTGAAAAAAAATTAAACAAATTTAATAAAGATATTATTAATTTATTAGAATATCAGATGTCACCATTACCAGAACCAAACAATAATGGAATTTAAACACCTGAGAATAGAGAAGTAAGTTTAATTTAAAATTTTAGGTTTTCAGATTCATTTATAAGAACAAAGAATATGATTGTACTGAATATGTTCCAAAACACCCTGCAGGAAAAAGCTTCTTTGATAAAATGAAAGATGAGAAATAAGACATCACAGAATATTTTAGGTATATTTATTTTGTATATTTTAGATGTCTACATTCCAAGAAGGCATTGAAAATATTAAAATCCTAAAAGGTTGTGCGTAGTGATCTTAAGGAATCAGAAGACAGCAAACGTTATTCTCATATCAAGAAGCAAGTCAAAGATCTCTATTAACCTGATTGGACCATTGAAATCCTTCTTTTACTTGGATTGAGTCTTGGATTATATCTTGGTGTCACAACTGATTGGTACATTGCTATACCAACAATTGCATTAACTTAGATAGTGGCTGGGTATTTTATATATATAATATCTAACATTTAGATGGTAAGGACACTCAACAAATCATAATCGAAATCCATTATTATATAAGTTGTCCATTCCTTATGGTATAATTCATGGATTCTCTGCAGATTGGTGGTAATTCAAACACAACAATCATCATATCTTCACAAATCGTATTGGTAAAGATGATGACATAGATCACACATATTAAATGTGGTAATATGGATTCCTATATTTAAAGTAACTATTTATTTCAATCTTAATAGATGGAAGTTTGATTCAATCATAGCATCCTATAACAAAATTGATATTATCTATGTGTTACTCCATTAGATAATTGTATTCTAATAAAAAATTTGGATCTATTTGGTTGCACAATATATTGCAGGATTTTTCAGTGCATGCATTCTTATTGGTAATCATGAAAGAGAATATAAATTCTATAAAAAAATTGACAAACCATTTATTGAACATTAAATCATTACCTCAAGAAATTATGATTGGACTGGTATATATAATTTATATATTTAGATTGGTTATCCAATTTGTTGATGGGAGGCATGCAATTCTAAACAGAACATCATTTATTTCCACAAATTCCATTTTATAGATTGCCTTATGCAGCTAAAATTATTAATAGGGAATTAAATAAATTTGGATATAAGATCCATGTTGGAAAAATCTTGTGATATATTAACATAAAACAATATAATTTAAAAATGAAAATTTAAAACACAGATAAGTATTAATCAAATATACTTTTCCTCTATTTCTATTTATTTTAATTATTCTATCTCTTCTTCAATCCTATCAAAATTATGAGAATTCAAATTTTATTTAAATAACAATCCAAATATATTTAATATTAAATATAATATTATATTCAAATAATAATTATAATATTTTTATCGATTTGCTGCATAAATGATTTTATATATTATTATATTTATCAAAGTATATAATAAAATTTTAAATACTAAATCTTCCCTTATTTTAAAATAATATCATTCTTTTTCTTTATTATTTTCTTGTTTTACTCAATTATTGGAGGATTACCTAATTGGTAAAATACTACTTTTTGAATTTATCATTTCTTTGCAAATAAATTTGAAAGTGAAATACTTATATTTGATCTTTGATTGATCTTTATAATAATTTTTATCTTTCATTTATATTTGAAACATATTCTTAAATTTTAAATAGTTATACTCTTATTTACTAAGATTATTTAAACTTAAATATAAAATAATTTAAGATATCTTCATAATTATATAGTAAATTAGGCTTGATTAAAAATAAAAAATTATCTGATTTATGAAATTACTTCATTATAAATTGGATGTATTATAATGATGTGTTTTTGTGGAATGTAATAATTCTACACATAAGACATTAAATAAATTAAAAATATAAAATAGACTATATTATATAGTTTTATCTCAATCTTTTTTAGTTTTCTTAAGATTCAAATATCGAACTTCATTTTCTTCATCTTGATCGTTATAAAAAGTAAATGATTATTTTCTACTTCTTTGTCCTTCTGCCTCTTATACTTAATCAGATTTTTATGGATTAGTATCTAATTAGATATCTTATTCAGATTTTGGTACATTTATTAAATCAGATAAACTCAATTTCCTATTGTTTAAATACTTTGAAATTTTTGCCCTGGTTTTTTATGAGATATTGAATACATAATAAAATGAAAAAAGGACTCATCATTTCCTGGTCTTGATTCTACATTTTTGTCATTATTCAAATTAGTATGATTATTTAATTCTATCTGTTTTGATTATAATGGATTTTATTATTCATCATTTTGATCAATTTCAGATATAGATTTATAAGCATTTTGTATCTATTAAATTGCCATTATCTATCCTTTTTCTTGATGTAAATTACATATTTCTTTAAGAAGTTCATCTGGTAACTGTTAGATATCTGATACATCTTAAAGTTTTTTTTGTATTTTCATTTATTATTACTAATATTTTGTGACTTATTCCTTAGTAGGATTATGAGTTTGCAAATCAGGTAAATTAAGATCTAAAATACCTTATTATAATTGTGATTTTATTTATTATTATTATTAATTAGATTCCAATTACATAGACTCTACATTTATTTGGATTTCCTCATCGGATACATCTAAAAATAAGATTATAAGTAAATACCAATAATAGAATTATTCTTCTATTTTATTTGCATTTATTCTTCCTCAAAATTTTAATGAAACATTTTATTTACAAAGATTTCTTTGATTTCAGAACTCTTCAATCCATTAATTTATTAATTAAATTCTTTTTCCAAACGATTGAAAAATTTCTAAGCATGAGATCTGAAATAGATATCATTTGTAAAGATACCTAATTTATGCTCCACTTCTTGTACCAACATATTCTTCTACTTTCTTCCAATTTTTTCCATGTAAACTCAATGCTTCTACAAATCTCTAATGTTCTTCCTTTACCCACCTACCTTAAACTGCTTCACCCTATACTATCACTTAATTTGATAATTGCTACTTCACTTTCATCCAAAGATTTAGATTACTTCCTTTTATTAAGTTAAGCCATTTTAATTAATTTTTATTAAAATTCAATTCAAATATGTCGAATTATTGCTCTACATAAATTTACATGTGATTTGGATTCTAAAATATATTATAAATATAGTAATATTGTTAAAATAAATTGTATCACAATAAAAAGATGATCAATTTAAACAATAGTTAATCATGGAATTCTTTTACTATGACAATTTTATTTTATATCCTGATAGTAATATAAAAACATATTAATAACAATTAACTATTTATTATATAATACAGTATAATAATAATGGAATAATTTGAAAATATATATAGACAAATAATGTACTTAATTAATTGCATTTATTATTTTTATTAATTTAGTTATTATAGAATATATCTTAATATTAAATAAATATATTTTAATGAGATTCTTGCTTGATATTATAATTTATAATTAATTATTATAATTTAGACATAATAAATAAATTTAATTAAATGATTGCAGCATTATTTTAAATCAAAAGTGTTTAGTAAAAATTGAAAAAAAATAATATATTATTTTGATAAGCTTAAAAAATACTAAATTTAGAATTATTGATTTTTTAAAGCATTTTTAAAATTAATTTAGGATACATTAAGTGAATGTATCTATATTCTAAAATATTCAATTATTTTATTCATGGCAAGTAAATATGAATCAAAAATCATACTGATCATTTGCAAAGTTTATAAGGTTTCTATCCAATAACCTCTTCACAAGATGGACAATAATGTATTATGTCTCTGCATTCTGAAACAAAGCATGGAATCCAAAACAATGGCCAGAATATCATTAATATCAAGAAAGTAACAATTAGGGCCCCACAACCATATTATTTTTCAATTCTAGTGATGACTTATTTTTCACATTTTTGACAGAACACTTTGGTTGGTTGTTCTTAGTCGTTAGCATTCGTTGGTAAGTTTTTACTTACATTTAATATATTTATACACTCTCTATTCTAGAATACTTTATTCGATTATTCTATCGAAAGAATAATCTACCCGACTTGGACTATATACAAGTGATTTTGATAAATAATTGCTCTATTCATTGAGAAAACCTATCGAAGTGCTTTGGGATATAATTATCTTAGGACTATTTTCCTTACTAATATTTAATTATTTCGTTGTATTAGCTCTTTAGAATTCAGACTTCTTATTCATTTTATTTAAATATATTTAAATTCTTTATAAAGTTTTAAACAACTTAAAATAATCAATCATTGTATCTGAATATATTTACTACTAATTTGTATCTATTTATATTGCTATTAGATTATACAAAATTTGAATATAAATGATTACATAACTTAAAAACATAAAAATATTATCATAATTTAGCTTTATTATCTAAATTTACTATAATTTTCCCTATGTTTTTACCTTAAAATAATCGTTTAAGTGTTATAGGAGTATCATTTAATTAATTATATTCTTCTTAAAAGATTTTCAATTTTTTTTATTGAAATTGTTAAAATAAATAACCAAATGCAGCTTGAATTCTAGTATAAAAGAAATATTTACTTATTTAATTCTTAATTGAAAGTAATACCCTTCAATTTCAATTACTTATAAATTATCTAATTAATATTACTCAATCCTTATCATCTTTCATTATAATTTGAAGAACTCCACATAACGCAATCTTTCTAATTTTTAATCATTATTTCAAGCATTTACTCACCAAAATTATCAAAATAATAATCAACACTATTATTTTTAATTTATTTATCCCAATCATACAATTTATAATTGATAATTCTTATATTAGGAAATTACATTTATAGGAATATTATTTTTTCTTAATCTCCTGTTAATCCTATAACATCACATTCCATATTTAATGCAAGTTAAATACAAAATAATCCTGTTGCTCTAGCAGCTGCTGATATTACAACTCTCTATCCTTTTTAAATCTTACAAAAGTCAATCATCCATAATATGCTGGTTAGCCATTTAATATAATTGTAAGTAAATTTGAGTTTTGTAATTCACATTTTTATATCATTTATAACATTTATCTTGGAACTTTTATTAACTATTTCTATTTATTAGATTTATCATATAAAAAATGAGTTTGTAATCTAGCAGGACCAAAATATATATCATTTGAATTATCTACAGGAGAACTTAGAGTAAATGCATGTATTATTTCATCTTCTTATAATGCAGGTAAATAACTAATAAATTTAGAATATAATAAATTACGTTTTTGCTTCAGAAATCCATACTCTCATTATAGGATCAATAGATTTTAAATCTAGTTTTCATTAGTAATAATTATGAATTTGGAGAATCTAATTTCTAATCTATTAATTTAAATGCTTATTCAAGTTCATTTATATTCTTTGGAGCCTTTTACTAAAGAATTAATGATTATTTTTACATTTATTTATAATAATCTAATAAAATATTTTTATATTCTTTATTCTAATAATTTGTTTTGTAATTTTTCTTATGAAAAACTTTTAGATTAATTAATTTATTATGATAAAAGTACAAAATATAATTGAAGTTTGTTTTAATATTATAATTTGATTGGATAATATAAATATAATAATGTATCTTTATATTTTATATTAAGTTAATTAATTTTAGTAAAAATAATATATATATTGATATTTATTATAGAAGATTAAATAATCAAATAATTTTAATTTCACTCAAGTCTAACCAAACAATAAATATAATATCGGTTAAATTAATTTTCATTGAATATGAAGAGTTTGTTTTCAAATTTTAAAAGGTCAATTGTCCTTATGAATAAGTGCAAAGAACTATAATTATAATTTATAATACTTTTATCCCCATCTTAAAATGAAATTCCTTTATCTTTTCCTTAAACTGCTCCATTTTCAATTTCACTATGATAAATACATTTATCATTAAAATTCATATATACACCATGACCTTATGTTTAAAGTTATTCTCCAGTAAGAATCAAACCATTTTTTTCAATTGATGCTCTCTCCATTGCTCCTATACCTATTCCTACATAATCATTTTATATCTTAACAATTTCAAATCTAATTTAACTTCCTTCTTTAAGTAATTAATTAGTCATAACAAAGGAAGGATCTAGAATGAAATTTTAGATATACATCCTTCTAAATGTTTTGCTTTTTGATTGACAATTTCAAATTTAGAAAGTTAATCATAAGCTTATGGCATCTTAATGAATTAGGGTTTTTCTGTTATAGCAATAGGTATGGCTGCAGTTTGAATTTAGGATAGTTTCTTTTTTGGTGATTAAACTTATTGAACTGGTTAAATAGATTCTTATTTTGTATCTGCACTAATTAAAAGAAATAAATCATCTAATTCTTTTTAAATTTGAATTTGTAATTCACAATATTGAGTTGTTTGTAATTCTAGGGTTTCAGAAATGTTATTAGGTAATGCTTTGACTATTAAATCTATAGCTCTTTCATTTAATAATGAGTATTCAGAATTGATAAATTTTGATGCTGCCTCAATCAATTCATATTTTTCACATTTTCTTTATTAAATATATTTGTAAATTTATACTTCTAATATATTTCTTATTTCTTTTGTAAATATTCCTAAATGATTTGAAATTTAGATTCAATAATTTATTTAGTACTTGTAGTGATTGGAAATTCAGGTATGACATCCTTTAATTTCTTGGTGAGTTATCCAAGACTAGAGGAACTATGGCCTTTATGATAATCAAGCTCTTTTATAGATTAAATTAATCGGGATGATGCCTAACAATTTGGTGCTATACAAATTCGAGTAGAGGGTATCATAATTAATTATTAATAATTCAATAATATAATGAATAGTAGCTCAAAAATACGAAAGGGATCTCGCAATATGAAGTAGAACAATTAATATAATCAATAGGTACAAGAAAATTAGTCATGATTAAAGAACTCATATAATTAATGAACTTACTAAAAATGGAAAGACTTTAAAAGAAGTAAATATATTAATAATTTATCATAATAGGTATCTGAAGAAACTTAATTAAAACCATCTACAGTTAAGGCTATTCTATAAGTCTATTTAAAAGAAGGAAGAATAGGAAAAAAATCAACCAGAGATAGAAAAGTGAAATTACTTAATACTACTGTAATCGCATTAATAGACAAAACTAAGTAATATTTTATTTTTAATCTAATTTTTAATAGAAATAGTGAATATGCTATTGAAAATTTATAGTTCATCCATCCTATGATTAGAATCAATTAACAATCATCGGAGATTTCTCATAATGGTTAAACTTTGACTGAAACTTAATAGAAATTAGATTAGTATTCAAAATAGCTTGTGATGATGTAAGTAAAAGATTTCTTAAGAGAAAAGAAATCAGAGATAGTTGATTAGTTGGCTAATCCTTTAGCAAAATAAAATTTCTTAAATTAATTAGCATAATTTGAAGTGAGTGAGTAATTGCCATTTCAAGAATTAAAGAAAGAATAATTATCTGCTGAAGATGAATAGTTTGTAGAGAAGATAACATAACATTTAAAATCCAAAGTAAAAATCTGATATAAATAAATAAATAAAATTTTAATAAGATCATAATTATTTAAGGTTGTAATTCTTAAATTGAGATTAATTTATTCATTCTAATCATAAATAATTACTATTCAACATTTCTTCAATTCTATATTTTTTTTATATATTAAATTTACAATTATATTTAAATTGAAATATCTTAATTTATCAAGATTTATCAGTTAAAATAGTCATCAACTTGAATATCAAAATAATATTCTATTAAATTAATTCTCCTGTATTAATAATCACTAAAATATAAATGGATTAATATTACTAATTTTTATTATGAAATTTATCTTTCTTAATTTTATATTTGTAAAAATATATTTTATATAAGTTATTAATAATATGAACATTTAAGTTAGATTATTTGAATTTTAATCAAATATATTATTTATTTATTCTTTTAGTTGATATTTAAATCAATTTATTATAAATTGGTATGAAATTGTTCAATTTGTAAAAGTGATATAAAATCAAATCCAAGATTTTTATAAATCTTATTTCAATATAATTTGTTAATACTGTTAATTCAGAAATCTTTTTTTTAACTTCCTCTAAGTATATTTTATATTACTTCCTTGAGAAAGACTTTACAATTACATTCTATTCACAACTAGAAATCCCTTTCTATTTTAATAATAATAAAATTATCCAATATTAAAAGTATTTTGATTACAAATTCTATAATTCATTTCAGACATTCTAATAAATATTAATAAGATTTAGAATAAGTAAAAATTGTTTAAAAATAATATTCTCATTAATAAATTTGCTTAAAATCTTAATAAAATCATTTTTAGAAAATGAAATAGAGAACTATTCCAAATAGTTAATGATTGAGTAATATATTCTATTCTTAATCTTTTTTAAGATTTCGAAATAATTTTGTTGCATAAATTATAACATTTATTATTTATGTTAAATTATATTCAACCAATACTTGATTTTTCATTTTATTTATTTTTTGGAATCTACTTTTCAGGTCCAGAGGAATATGAATTATATTATAGAATATTTGCAGTTTGTAAAATACAATCTTATATAATTAGGTGCTTGCTTATTCTACATATTCATTTTCTTTCCTAATAAATTCAAATTATTTTAAGTAAATTCTTAACTCTTATCAATTGGAACAGGAAGTGTTGCTTTAGCCAGCTTTGTTCTGAGTATTTATCTCAGTTACGAAGACTAATTTTTTGCTTATTGCTATTGGTCAACGTTATTGATTAGTTGTGGAATTGGCACATTCTTGGTTAAAACAAAATACAAATCAGAGTGAATTATTAATAAATAATTATATACATCAATGTCTATTCTCTCTTAAAATTATAAGTCAAAAGTTAAATCTAAAATCAATTATATGATTTTTTAATATAGTAAACAAAGAATCCTTATTCTTTAGAAACCATAAAGAATTAATGATAAATATATTACCTAAATTACAAATAATAAAATATAGAATATTATTTGTAAAATTATAATTGTGTTATTAGTTTATTATTAAATGCAAAATTGATATAGAGTATCAAGATTAAATGATTATAGATTATTAATATTGATTTTATGATTCATCACAAAAGCAATGCATTAATAGTTTACTCAATTTTTTTCATTTGATCCTCTATATAATTTAAATCCTCTTCATTTATCTCGAAAGTATGAAATTTATAAGTTTTATTCACAACATCTTTAGACTATTACACATTTTTTAAAGTATTACCTTAAGATTCATAATACAAACAGGTTTATTTATGTTTTTTGCTTTTTTAGAATAGAATTGGTTATTAACTGACCATTAAAATTTTTCAATCTAACATTATATAATTAAAGTAATACTTTTTATCCTTATGTTCTCTTTTTAATATAATAGGATAATACTCTATCTTTTTCAGTTAACCATGTTTAATGTAATTCTTAAGATGATATACCCTATAATAAATATATTGATTTAATACATATTGCTCATATGTTTGCTCTGAATCATTTTAGATGAGATCATCAATCAACTATTAAAAAATATCTACATTTTAAGAAAATGTTTCTTCATTATAATTTCCTTATTCTTTCAAATACTCTTTAAGTTAATCTAGAGTAACTTCTTCTTAATTATCTGTATATTTCATAATTAAGACTCCACGAAATATTGGTTTCATTATAATTATAATAATTTAATATATATTTATATTAATTAAATCACTTAAACTATATAGAATTTTGTTGCTTGACAGTTACTATACTTGATATTTTTATTATTCAATTTCATTTACTAATCACTTAATATTCATCATGATTAACATTCAAATTGTTATTTAATGATATTTAATGATATTTCTTTCTAATTTTAAATATTATTTATATCTTCAATTTCAATATTTATTGTAAATTTTAATATATATTTTCTATGTTTATTCTAAGTAATCCTTTATTTGTTTTTATTAATATTGTTATATGGACTTTATATTTTAATTATTCTTATAATTTTTAATCTTGCATATTTTATAGAGACCTGGTATTTTCTATAAATCATAAAACATCATATGCAATTAATATGGAAGGATGGAAGAGATTAATATTACTAATTTCATAATAATCTCAATATTAATTATTTTTTAACGTATTATATGATTATAAAATTTATAAAAAAATTTCCATTATATAATTATATCAATTGTTGATATTAAATATATGAATTTTACATTACCTAATTACTTAGGTTCTATAGTCAAACGAATTTATATTAAAGACATTAGATAAAAAATCATATCTATGAAAAAGTTGCTTTGAAATAATTTCTTAAGATTCTATTTTTTTCAAAGAATAATATAGCAATAAATAATAAGTTATAATCAATTACGTATTTGAGAATCCATTTAATTATTTTTCATATTAAGACTGTCAATTATGTCCTTAGGATCTATAAAGTATATTATATTCATCCTGCTGATGGCTTCTTGTAATATTTAATTCAATATATCTTTTAGTAACTCAGAGTTGTAGCGATGGACAATTTGAATCATCAGGAACCTGCATTAATTGCTTAGATAATTGTAAAATATGTGAGTCTACATATTAATGCACAACTTGTTATGATGGTAGATATAAAACTACAGATTATGATAATCATCCTATTCCTCATGATATATGTGAATCTTGTTCTTCATAGTGTAAGTAATGTAATGCATTTTATATATGCAATATCTGTAATGATCATTATTATTTAATTGGAAATTATTGTTCTGAATGTCATGCCTCATGTGGAAATTGTTAAACAACAGAATCTAATTGCACCTCTTGCACTACAGGATATTTGTATAATTCTTAATGTTTACCTTGTACAGCGCCTTGTTCAACTTGTATAGATTAAGCGACTAAATGTACATCATGTATTGATAGCAATAAAATAGTTATTGATTATAAATGCGTTTGTTTTGAAGGATAATATTTGGATCAATTTAATGAATGTAATTCTTGTACTTTTCCTTGTTCAACTTGTCAAAATACTGCTAATACTTGTAAAAGTTGTCAATTACCTTTAATATTAAGTTAAACAATAGAAAATAAATGTGAATGTTTAGAAGGTTTTATATAAATTGATTCATCTTGCTTATAATGTAGTGCTCCTTGTAAAACTTGTGAATTATCAGTTTCAACTTGTTTAAGTTGTATTGATGATGATAACTTAGAATTAGTGCCTTCAACTAATACTTGTATTTGTAAGACAGGATGGATATTTAATTCAAATAGTGTTAACTGTTTAAAGTGTAAATTACCTTGTTTAACTTGCATAGATTCAGTAAACAAATGTATTACCTGTAATGATGTTATCCATCAATCAGGTGATACATGTGCTTGTGAATCTGGTTGGATAATAGATTCAAATTATAATTGCATTTAATGTGAAATACCATGTAAAACTTGTCAAGTATCTACAAATTAATGTGTAACATGTGAAGATCCTAATCATATTTTGAATGACTCTTTTAATTGTATATGTAAACCTGGATATTATTCTAATACATTATCAACATGTCTTTAGTGTCAATTACCTTGTTATGAATGTAATAGTAATGGTTGCATTAATTGCATGGATATAAATTAAATAGTAGATTCTAATTTAAATTGCTAATGTAAAGATAATTACTATATGGATGGACTAAGTTGTTCTTAATGTTAATTACCATGTAAAACATGCATTTAATCACCAGATTAATGTTTAACATGTATTGATCCAAATTAATAAATAATCAATTATTAATGTGAATGCAAATCAGATTTTATTAAATAAGAACATTACTGTTGCCATTAAAATTGTTTAAATTGTTTAGGTATTGATCATTGTGATAAATGTCATAAAGGATTTTATTTAAATGGAAATAGCACTTGTTAAAAATGCATTTAAAATTGTGAATATTGTAATAATGAAATAAATTGTGATATATGTTAAGAAGGTTACTTTGTTGATTCTAATCAAGATAATTAATGTTTTTAATGTAATAATAATTGTAAAACTTGTAATGAGTCATCAAATCTTTGTTAAAGTTGTAGATCTAATTATGAAATTAATACCATAAATCATTCTTGTTAATGTTAAAATGGATATTATGAAATAAATTCTTAATGTTAACCTTGTATTTATCCTTGTAAAATTTGTTTAAATTAAGAATAATGTAAAGAATGTACTTTTATACTTAATTTAGTATTAAATGAATAAAATAAATGCTAATGTAAATAAGGATATTATTTTTATGATGAATATTGTTTACCTTGTGATTCTACATGCTTGACTTGTATTGATAATCCTTAAAATTGTTTAACTTGTGATTCTACATTATTTAGAATCTTAAAAGATAATTCATGTTTATGTATTGATAATTATTTCGAAGATGATAAAGTTTGTCTTCCTTGTAATTCTGAATAAGGTAAATCTATTTAAAATTGTAAATATCAAGATTCAACTGAAATTACTTGGACATATGGAAAATAATGTGATGATGGTAATGAAATAAATAGAGATGGATGTTCAAATACTAATATTGATTAATACTATTCTTGTCTTAATTTTATTCTATAAAAATCTATTTGCTTTTAATGTCCATCACATTGTATTTAATGTGAATTAAATCAAATTAACAATAAATCATTTTGTATTAAATGCCAATCTGGTTATTTTTTAGATAAAAATTAATGTGTTTAATGTTCAAGATATTGTTTAGAATGTAAAAATAAACCATCTAATTGTATAAATTGTAGATTTAAAAAAAATACAAATAATAATAAATGTTTTGATTGTGAAATTTCAAAGGGTTATTATATAGATGAATAAAATCAAAATTGTTATTCAAAATGCGGAGATGGAATAAAAACTGAAGATGAGGAATGTGATGATGGTAATAATTTAATAGGTGATGGATGTAATTCAATATGCAAATTAGAAAATTATTATATTTTTTAGAATGGAATTAGTATTATTCCTGTATATCCAATTCCACAATTATAAAGTGCAGGCAATTCTTAAATTTATTCAACTTATAGAAAATTTAAATTATCATATAATGTAGAATTATTAATTAATGATGACTTTTAATTAAAGGATTATATATCCTTATAAATCTCGAAAGAATAAACTGTTAAATCCATAGATTAGGAATTTGAATTAATTTAATAGATTTAATAATTAGATGAACCAGGTAAGGTAATATTAACTCTTATGATTAATATATCATTTACTAGAAGTTCAAGAGATGAAATCCTTATTATAAAATTTCATAATATTACTCAAATTTAATCCTTTCTTGGTTACCATCAATAGAATGTTGATATTCAATGTAATATACCACAACTAATTTTTATCGAAGAAACAACAATACTATAAGTTGAGATTACAACACGAAGTAATTCATATCTATTATATTTTCTGGGTGCAATGTGTTTAATTTCTTTGTTTCTTGGAGGGATTGATGTATTTTATAACTTATTAGATAATCTTTAAATGTTATCTTACTTTAAGTATTTAAATATATAGTATCCATATAATATGAATGTTTATTTTGAACTCTTTGGATTTGCATAAGTTAATTTCATAAATATATTACTTGAAGACTTGGATGTTTTAGATCCAATCATTGATTAAAATTAATTGAAAAAAATTCCAAAGAATATATCAACTGATTATCAAACTCCTCTATTATTAATCAATGTGTCAACCATTATAATTATTTGGATATCTCTTGGGGGACTATATTGCATCTCGAAGATAATACCTAAAATATTTTATTCTATTAAATTCAAATTTTATTCAGATTTTGAAGAAAATCCAATGATCATTAAAATCAGTATATATTATCTTGCAATCAAATATGTTGTCATTCATTTTTGTTACATAGTAACTTCAGAATTCTTTTATAGTGGTCTATTAAGATTACATATGACAACTGCTTATGAATACATATTAAGTATTATGCTATAACTATAATCTTTGGAATTATACTCTTAAAACGGATTCATCTCTTTAAATTCATATTTTGCTCTTATTGCTGCTGTATTATATTTGTTAAGCATTTATTTTATAATCTAATTATCAGAAATGAAAGAATACTCAATTAAATGTTGTTCTGTTAAATAAAAATATGGGTCTGTTTTTGAAGGACTAAATAAAAAATCAATTTCAAAATATTATAATTCAATTCTATTAATAAAGAAATTAGTATTTATGATTATATTAGTATTTACTTATGATTTTCCTATTTTCCAAGTATGCAGTATCACATTGCTATCAGTTTTAATGGGTCTTTTCATAATCATATTTAAGCCATTAGAAGATAGATATGAATATATTAAACAATTATCCTGTGAAATTAGCATAATCTTCACTCTCTTTTTCTTAATCATATTAGCCTTCAACAATGAACTTAAATTCTTTACCTATGAAACTCAGTAAGGCACAGGATGGGTTTGTGTGTTTTTTATGACAACTTTACTATGTATTCAATTAATTATTGATACAATTCAGTAATGGAAGTTCTTATATAAGAAATTCAGATTCATAAGAAAAGTAGTTAAAGCCATTTTATAAATCTTAAATCCTAATTAATAAATATAAGCCTAAGATTAAGTTTAAAAATAAGTAAAAGATTAAGATTAAGTTTAAAATCAAGTGAAAAATTAAGATTAAGTTTAAAAGTAAGTTGAAAAATAAGTTTAAAATTAATTTTAAGTCTAAAATCAAACATAAATCTAAGTTTAAGTTTAACCTTAATATTTAAAATGAAAGATTATCTTGATTAAGATTTGTCTCTAATTTTTATTATATTTTAATAATATTACTCATATCAATTTTTAGATATAATAGAAATCTAATTAATTGTTAAATAATTCTCTAAAGAATAACAATATCACTCAATCATTAAAATATCTTATTTCCTTATATTTTATTTGATCAATTTTTAAATTTTAATATTAATCAACTATAGTTGATTTTATGATATAAATTTGGTTTTTATATATTTTAATACTTTAAAAAATAATGTAAAATGCTCTCTAAAGATTATTAAAAAAAGATATTAATTTCAAATTATTTAAATTAAAGTTATAATATGATAAAGATAAATTTATATTATTAATAAAAATAGTCTTATGATAATGTTTCAATTATATTATTATTAAAATACTAAAATGTTATAAATATTATATTATATTATATA